AAAAAAAAGAAATACAGGAGAATTCGTCTATCATTTCAAAAGAATTTCTCGTAACTTTAGAGTAAAAAAGGGTGGCTGAAGTAATTTAAAAAAAAAAAAAAACAGTAAGGGTTTCTTTTATATTTTTTCTTTTTTTGTATTTTCCTTAAAAAACACGCGCAAGATATTATTCGTTAACGTGAAAACCATTTAAAAATTGTTTAACCAGCCGATAAAACATTGCTGTATATTGTTCCTAACTATCGTTACGAAAATTCAACGAATTTCTTTTTCCTATCTTTCTTTACTTTCTCTTTCTCACTCTCTCTCACTCTCTCTCTCTCTCTCTCTCATACATACACACACACACACACATACTTTTTCTGTCACTCTTTTCCTTTAATATTTACAGATTAGCAGTTAAAATTTCGACAGGTTTTCACCTCTTGTCCAAACGTGTCCAAGCGTAACGCGGAAATTGAAAACTCAAGGGGGTTGGGGAAAAATGGTTGTTCTTTCTACCACGAAAACGAAGATAATTAAATCCGAGGCTACGTGAAAGAGAGAGAGAGAGAGAGAGAGAGAGAGAACAACTTGGCTGACGTGTCGACCAAGTTACAGAAAAAAAAAATAAAATAAAATAAAATAAAAACCAGACGAGTATCTGGTTTGTAGATTGTCGTAAAATTTGCTAATTCTCTTCGTTGTCTGATAAAAAACGGAAAAAATGAAATAGAATTGAGAAAACAAAAAGAATCCGGTTTTTTTTTTTTTTTATTAACAAATTGATTATGTTATCGTAGTGATCGCAGTTTTAATATCCCACATAATATAACAACTTTCTAAAAACTTTTTAAAAGCATTAAACCTTTCAATAAGGTTTCGAAAAAATCTTTCTACAAGGTGTAAATGTTCGCGTTCAGATACTTGCAAAAGATTACTCTATCAGTAAAATATTTTTGTACAAATCTTTTATGAATTTTTTTCAAAATATTTTAGAATGATGCCTGAAAAGGTTTCTGAAAGATTTTTTGAAAATATTTTACGAAACTTTCGCTGAAAAATTGTAAAACTTATCGTGTTATGTATAGAAAATGTTACTGCATTAACAATAAAGTGTTAAATACATTGCCACGAATGTAAAATTCAAGTGTATTTGTAAGTGTGCGAACAAAATTCCGTACAATCCCGTTGCTTTGATTATCGCGAAAAATTTGCTTGAAAAATAAAATTCCTGGCACTTCTGTGAAAAGAGGTAGAGAGGGAAAATCGAAGGGAAAAGGGTGATTTTGAAGAAATCGAGGAAACTCGTCAGTAATGTCAATCGATATCGTTTTTACTACTACCCCCTTCCTACCTCTACACCCACCCCTTTTTAATTTCAATGACAGTAAAGACGTATTTTTTATCTTGTCTTAAATGTTTAATATCGAAATCAAATTTTTGTTTTTATTTTTTTTCTGAGTTTACTTTCACTTAATATCGTATTTTTAAGATATTTAATTATACTTCTCGATAGTTTCTAATTGAATTTCTATTCTATTTTATATTTGTATTCAAAGATAAAGAAAGAAGGGAAAAAGAATTATTTTTTAATAGTATATAAATTATATTATAAAAAATATATATATGTTTAATATATTTCACGAAAATTCACATTTTAATATTCGTTTTTGTAATTTAATCACGTTGCAGTTAAGCAGTACCTTTTACCAAGTATAATAATAATAATAATAATAATCATTATTAAAATTTTCATTATACATGAAAGATAGATAGATATATTTATTTTTGTACTTTTAATAGGATTTGTTATTTTAAGTAAGATGTAATAAAGAGTAACATATTTTAAAAAAAAAAAAAAAAAAAAGAAAAGAGGAACCAAGAAAATCTAATGAAATTGATTTTGTTCATCAGAGCATTAAAAGCTGGGGTGAAATGTCCATTGCTAGTACTACTACCTGACGTACGTTTTGAAAATGTCGAGTTGGTAACATTGCTTGGTGCTTTGGAAGGACTTTACGTGGTAAGTAATCTAATAATTAAAAATTTATTAATAACATTTTTTTTTATTATCTTTCTACGATCGATTTATCCCTTTGACTGCTATTTAACTATATATAATAATAATAATAATAATTATTATTATTATAAATGTAAAATAATATTATTTTGATTGGAATATTGATCATTGCTTTTTTAATCTTTGTCACATGAAAATTAAAAACAAAAAAAGTACTTTAATTATCTTTTAATATATATAAATTACGTGTCACGTTGTTTGTCCACAATGGACTCCTAAACTAGTAAACCGATTTTAATCAAATTTTGCACACTGTATGCAGTTTCGTCCAACTTGAAAGATAGAATAGTTTATATCTCAATTTATAATTCGCAATATTATTTTATTGCGAAAGACGTGTGTATCGGACTGATTGTGAGCCACAACAACGCGTGGCGTTGCACCCCTAGTTTAAATATATAATTTATTAATTAGAATAATAGTTTAACACACACACACACAATACCAATCAAAAATAAAAACTGACGTACTAATAATAAAATAATATAAATAATATGTAAATAATATAAAATAATATAAAATAATTATATCAGTTATTCACCATTTAAAGGATTAATAAGAACTTAAAAAAAAAAAAAAAAAAAAAAAAACAAGTGTATACAAAATAAATCTACGAGTAAGGATAAAAAATAAGAATAATAATATAAAAAAAAAATACGTAGAAAATTTTGTCAAATACAATAAGAAAAAACAAAAAAAAAAAAAGAAAAGAAAAATGTTGAACAAGTACACTCTTGTGAAAATACATTTGAAAATATACATTTTCATGAGAAATGATACCTACACTACTACTACTTGTGTACGGGTGTTTACCGATTCACAAAAGGAAGGAAAATCATTTTCAAACGTCCAAGTCGTCGATGCAACCCATCAATGCAACCATCTATGCAGCTGCGTTCGTACAATGGAAAAGCCAGTAATAGTATATCTCGAAGGAATTGCTATCGCTTAGTAAACCGAATTCAGTGAGAACTCTGTCCGATCTGAGTTACATTCTTCTCACTCTTTCTCTCTCTCTCTCTCTCTCTCTTATTTCATTCTCGACATTTATCCTTGTAAACTCGTAGATTCAAAGGCATATCGCACACGTGACATTAACCGATGAGCAAAGATGCATCTTCTCTCTCATAGCAGAACAACTATTTTCCGTTCAAACCATTTATACTTCGCTTTTCAACGACTGAGTGTTGAAAGATCCCTTTCGATCTTTCAAATTGAATTATTTCGATGAAAATAAGAAAAAAAAAAAAAAAA